CCTAATGTCGGGGGTTTAAGTGGAAAGAAAATGTTTTGAGAATGAAGTACAAATGCGCTTTACACAATTGATGTGTGTATGGATTGTGATAGGAGTTGTATGAGCCCCTAATAAAATGTTTAAAAAAACAAAAACAAAAACTCAAAAGCCAAAAAAAAGAGCAAAGAATTTAGTGAAAGAACTATGTGGGATTCTGGAGCAGGAACAACAAAATCTACAGAAAAAAATAGTACAAGAATTCTTAAAAGAAAACTCCCCTAACACCATAAAATAAAAGAAAAATAACTGTTCAAGAAGCTAAGAGAACCCCAAACAGGATAAACTCCAAAAGAAAAACATTGTGACATAGCATGGTCAAACACTCCTATATCAAGGGCATGGAAAGAATCCACAGGAGAGGGAGAGAGGTAACAGACTTCAACCCGGTACGCCAATAGCTGAATGCAACATACCGGCATGAAGCAGTGAACCAATACAGAGGTCTGTGGATCTGGCCCCAATCCCAAGTACATGGACAGCCTCCACACCCACTCAACAGAATACACTTCAGAGGACAGAACTGAAGCTACAGCTTAGGGAGAGGGGCATGTCTGATCAGAGCACACAGGAGCAAATGAAGAGGGAAGGAGAGAGAGTGGAACGCATCCTGGCCCACCAAGCCCTGAGGATGATATTCCTGCTCAGAGCAGACAATGCACAGATAGGACCATAGGGCAGGTCCCACCATGAGGCATGACGTCCTTCACTGACCCACAGTGCTACGAAGTACAACAATGGAGACGCAGTGCAGGAATTGTGCCCGATCTAACCCCATCACACCAGGGCGAAACACTGAGGGTGTGCAATAGAGCAGCAAGGGGAGCAAAGCAACGAAGTCATTGAGGAATACTAAAAATAGACTTTGGGGCCAGAGTGTGGCACCCCATCATACTCCACCGGAAAACCCTCATAAAGGTCAATGAACAGACCTGGAATTATTAATAGGCTTGTCTTTGTTGTTGTTTTGCTTTCTTTTGCTGTATTGTTTTGTTTTGTCTTCCTTTAGTGCTTATTATTGTCTCTGTAAGTCTATCTAGATAAGATAGGTGGGATAAACAATCTGTAGAAGAAAACAACGGGACCAATGGCTCGACGGGAGACATGGGAGAGGGGGAAATGGTGGAAAAGGAAGTGGGGTGCCAACAAACTCAGGGACAAGTGAACCAGAAGTGATCTAAAATTGATGCTGAGGAATGCGTAGGATGTCTGGTGGGGCTTGTTCAAGGGCAATGTAACCAAGAAGAAATACTGAAACCTGAATGAAGGTCGAACATGATAATGGGACAAGAGGAAAGTAAATGGAAATAGAGGAAAGAACTAGGAGACAAAGGGCATTTATAGAGGTCTAAATGCAGGCACGTGCATATGTAAATATATTTATATATAATGATAGGGAAATAGATCTATGCGTATATACTTATATGTTAATTATCAAGGTAGCAGACAGACATTGGGCCTCCACTCAAGTACTTCCTCAATGCAAGACCACTTTGTTTTAATAACCCAACATTCTATGATGCTCACCTTCCTGACATGATCATTGATGACAAAATGGGTGCATAAGCAAATGTGGTGAAGAGAGCTGATGGTGCCTGGCTAACTAAAGATATACCATCTGGGGTCTTAATGGCTTGAAGATAAACAAGCGGCCATCTAGCTGAAAAGCAACAAAGCCCACATGGAAGAAGCACACCACTCTGTGTGATCATGAGGTATCGATGGGATCAGGTATCAGGCATCAAAGACCAAGAACAAAAATCATATCTATGTGAATGAGGGTGAGGGAGGAGTAGAGACCCAAAGCCCATCTGTAGACAATTGGACATCCCCTCACAGAAGTAGTCACAAGGAAGAGAAGAGCCAGTCAGGGTGCAGTATAGCACCGAAGAAACATGCAACTTTCCTCTAGTTCTTTAATGCTTCCTTCCCCGCCCCATCACCACTTTCACGACCCCAATTCTACCTTACAAATCTAGCTAGACCAGAGCACGTACACTGGTACAGAGAAGAGCTCACAATACAGGGAATCCAGGAGAGACAAATCCTCAGGACCAATAATGACAGTAGCAATACCAGGAGGGTAGGGGGAAGGTGGGGGAGAAAGGGGGAACCGATCACAATGATCTACATATAACCCACCCTCCAAGGATGAGCAACAGAAAAGTGGGTGAAGGGAGACAGTGGACAATGTAAGATATGAAAATAATAATAATTTATAATTTATCAAGGGTTCATGAGAGAAGGATAGTGGCAGCACGAGGAAAAAAAATGAGGAGCCGATACCAAGGGCTCAAGTAGAAAGAAAATATTTTTAAAATGATGATGGCAACATAAGTACAAAAGTGCTTGACGCAATGGGTAGATAGATGTATGGATTGTGAAAAGAGTGCTACGAGCCCCCAATAAAATGATTAAAAAGAAAAAAAATGAAGGCAACATATGTACAAATATGCTTGATACAA